ATTTGGTGAACTTTGGCGATGTTTTCGTCGGTAGTTGCAGTTTTTGGACGTCCTGAACGTTCATCGTCTCCCAAGCTCTTACGGCCACGTTTAAATTCAGCGGCCCAAAATTTCACTGTCGTAAATGATGGTGCAGAGTCCCCATACACAGAATCCAACTCATCTTTGATTTGCGTAGGCGTATTGCCTTTCAAAAACAAATATTTAATGACAGCTCGATACTCGATTTTGTCCATTTTCACAAAAACACTCACATCAACTTACTCAAACGACTGTTACATAACAACTGCGAGTCCAAAATGGCTGAAACTTCGGTGAGTAACTGTCAACAGATGAACAACGAAATTCACTAGCTTTTATTTACAAGTGCTGCTATCTTCACGTTGAGGTCGGAAACTTTTCAGACCACCCTCGTATATATATATATATATATATATATATATATATATATATATATATATATATATATATACAAGGATCCCGACATTTACAAGTATATGTGTGTATATGTATATTCGTGTGTATATGTATGTCGTGCGCGTATGTACATTATACTGAATTTTCAAACATATACACACACAAAACTGGTAAACAATAAAAATATCATAGCACCTGTTTACGCACACGGGAAAAGCGGAATGGTTGACCTACACAAAAATCTAGCTGTGCCAACTAGATTCCAACAGTAAAATACAGGACAACTAATTACGTGATTGCCACAGAACAATTGCCGAGCGTTGCAGTGACGATTTTTAGTTGCAACAACCGGATCACGCGCAGCTACACGAATATAGTTGATGTGTCAAAGTAATCAAGTCATATCAATCATACGCCATTACCATCACACAACGATAGCTAGGATAATGCAACTGTGCCGCTCACGCGCAAAATATTTCTGATTATGCGCATCATATCTTTTAAGTTTCCGTGTACAATTTGGAAGCCGCGGCAATCATGAGGACTGGCAACCCGCAACGGCAAATGAGTTGTCGTAATTACCGTGAATGCAGCGAAAAGCTTTTAATATCCGACCCGTCAGTGAGCCGGTCTTAAACTAGTCGTCCGTTCTTAATAACGACGAATCTTCTCCACGCAAACGCGATCATCCTGCGCTAATCGTCTTTCGCGAATTCGTCGGTAGACGCCAACGCGCCCGACGAATTACCTCTATTTCGCGTTGCACGAATTGTGAAAATGTCGAAGGGAAGTGCGACATTCGAGTTATGCAGTTTCGCGCGCACTATGACTCTGACATATTAATTTAATATATAAGCTCCATTTCATATATAACTTAATATAACTCCATCTCATACTTAATTTAATATATAAGCTTAATTTCATGCCTTATATTCCACGTCGGAATGTTAATCTTTCTCTCACCTTCTCTCTCTCTTAACGGAGAAAGAGGGAAAAAGAAATCTCTGATATAACGAGTTCTGTGTAATAAAAAAGAAGGTACGCCATGCATGAATAACGAAACCCGACTGGCTCGCCAATTTATTACGAGCGATCGTTTTAATTATCGTCACACGGCGACAGACACGCGCAATTTCGCGTGCCACGTGCCATAATTGGACGCGTGAAAGGGATCGGACGAAAAAAGTGGTGAGTAGTCGGGCTAAAAGAGAAGGCGATTCAATAACGGCGCTCCGAACTGACTAATGATAATTGGCGGCAAAGGAAATTCATTAAGCCGCGAACGAAATTAAGTGGCCGGTCGCGCGCGGAATCGAGACACGCTCCGTCGGCGGCAACCCCGCGGATGAGGGAGCTTTTATGCGCGTTTTGCGTTTCGTGCAAGACAGGTGCCGAGATGAAATGCAGGATTCACGGGGCCCTCCGGAGCCTCGCGCCGGAATTGCGAGTCCTTGTTCTGCCGCACGTAAACGAGTAACGTCAGATTGCGGCCCTTTGAGTCGCGCCGCTGCGCGAAACACTGTGGGAAATGGTTTACGGTGTTTAACAATATCCAATAAAGGCCAACGTGCGCTCTTATGAATATTTAAGAACAATTAATATTCACAAAAGAACGTTCCGCCTCTTTTGTGAGCGAAGTTCTCGATATAACGAAAGAAAGGCGGGAATTCGCATCGTTGGACTACAAATTTCGAATATCGACCCTTTCTCTTCCAAGAAACGCGTGCATCAACTTCGTTACCTGAGAAACTAGAGTCTCTGGAAGATGGAATCTAGCCATTCTTCAGATCTTTTTTCATTAGTTCAGTTCGCAGACCCCTCAAATGGCGGGACCAATTACAGTTCGTTATATTGTCATTATAATTATAAGGTTACAAAGCAACTCATTTACGGGTTTCTCTATTCTGAAAAAGAATGATAACTCTTAATTCTTTCATTTCACGTTTAAGTTGCTATTGATTGTATATCTTTCTAAAAAAACTATTACAAACTAAATTTTTTTATCGTTATCTTCTTGTTCAGGGAGTTTGAATTACACGAAAAATATGCCACAAATACTCGATACAAATAAAAAATTAGAAACTATTGAAACTCGATATCCATTGAGGCGTAAAAGTACCGAAAGTATCGAAGAATTTCCTCCTCTTCTCGAAGAAGTCGTTTCACACTGTACTCCGCGATTCTTTCGCAGAAATGCAAAAGGTTCCGCGTGGGCGAGCGCTGCTGCGAGTTCGAGTGCCTGGACGATGCGGACGACCTGAGCGGTCCGGACATATTCGATGTGGCGGAATCGTCGGGGATCCGGCATCAGAGTGTTCTCTGTCTACTCGGCCTGGTCGCGCTGCTGACGGTGCCCTAGTTACGACCGGACGGGTCCCGCGATCATCGTCGCCGCAGGCCTCACGCTCGTCGAAGGAATTCGCCCGTTAACGATATTAGCGACCCGACAAGGAAGACGACGACGACGACGACGAGAAAATTGTGCACGAGGAATTCCGCAGACAGGTTTGGTTCATACCGCGAGTACGCGGTGTTTTGGCGAACAGCACGTCCGTCGCCCATCGCAATTAGGTCATTCTTTTGGAAAGGTGCGAGTTGAGTGCAGCGCGGACCGATTTGTTTCCCTGATCCACCGCGGTTGGGTCGAGGACCGATCGAACGATTTTCGCGATAATTCGCCGGATAAAAGACATAATATAGTTTTTACTGCGGAAGTGTGTCAGTAAGAGGAGATCATATTTCATCTCTCTCTCTCTCTCTCCTCTAGAGATGCGACGCGCATTAAACGTAATGCAAATATTATCGTTTTATCATTTCCGTTATCATAATTTCATCGCGTTTTCTCTCTCACGCATACGCGCGTGAGCACATTAATTGAGAGGGAAAGAAAAGAGAGACGGAGGACTCTCGTATCTTGTCGATGTTTTCCCGGGGGAAATTTAAAAATTTCCAGACCTCGCGCGCGTCAGGTTCGGCGAGCTTTCCGAGAGCTCTTTATTTCCGGGGGATTTTGCCCGTGCTTCCTTTCGAAGCACGCATTTTCTCGCATTTCCCCACGTCCCTCATCAAATCCGCTGCGATAACGCTCATCAGATACCACGCGGATTCAACGGGTCGGATTTGAAACTCTGCGCTCATAACCAAACGTCGAGAATGACGCTGGCAGCTCTTCTGGCCTAATTCGAGAATACACTCAGATGTCAGCCACTGTCAGAGAAGGCATACTGCACTCAGTCGCGCACGTTCCGGAGCAAAATGTGCGGCCACGCGCGCGATCGGAAATGTCATCGCGCAAATCGACTCGATCGGCTCTCGACTTGACCACCGCCGGGATCCGCCCGATACAATCGTAATCGGCGGTGCATCGTGCATCGATTTAGCGGCCACGTTCCTCAAGATCCGCGCTCTTGATAGTACTCGCGTCGGACAGACAATTGCAGACTGAATTGAAAAACCGATCGAGACCTCGCGCGGCACATTTCGCGCGCGTTTCGTGTGCATGTATGCGTGTGTATGCGAGCGAGCGCGTGTGTGAGTGGTCGAGTCGGCAGAAATTTTTATTTTTCCATTGTCAATAAACGATGTGATAACGAACGTGTCACGAGATTAGTGCGCGAGTCCTTCATCGACCAGCGCCGGAAATCCGCTTCTCCTCGTCAGCTAGGTCGTACGTCTGTTTGTGTGTGTTACGTGTGTATGTATACGTTACGTTTGTGTAATATCCTTACGTTACGTATGTTACGTTTGTGTAATATCCTTTTGTTAACGAGATTCGTTTCAACCTCTAGTGGAAAAATCACCGTTCGTTCGTCCGTTCGTTCGTTCGTTTGCTTTTCCGGGCTCGCCGGTGAGCGAGCACCTTTTCGAAAAGCGCCTCTCCGATCACACCTCTGTGATGATAATCAGTGATAAAATCGGCAAATCGCGCGACGAAGTAATGTCGTTTAGTCCCTCGTCTCGGCTTCTCTCGTTTTCTCGTGCGCTTCGCGACCTTCTGGCATTCTCTTCCGGTAATCGCCACGCGTTTACCTCGCACACGGTAAAAAAGACGATGGAAAGTGAATCACGTTGGGATCACTTCGTAGAGTAATTGCCTGTTTGCGCTACGCGATCTCGTTAGAGTGTCGTTCGCGATATTCGCTGCAAAGTCCGTCTTTCGCCGGCGGGAACGCGTTGTATCGCAGCGCAGCATAACGCTGTTAGCGTTGCGTTCACGCAGGAGCCACGAATGGATCGCAATTTTTACGCAAGTCGATCTCGCGCGACGTGTGAAGAAGAGATCCATCCATCCATCCATCCATTTGCCTGACGGCCTGTGCATTTCGCTTTAACACAGAGATTCCCAAATTTATTCCGCATTTGTTCAGATATGCACGAGAAACCGTGTCGCTATAGAAGAGGATTCCAGTTCGTAATTGAGGAAGAAATTACACAGTTGTCTCACGCTTGTCGAATTATCTCTCGCCGTGGAATCCTCAGGCAATCTCGAGCGGATATTTGCGCACTGAAAACTCTGCGGGACGTAATATTTCACAAGCGTGACGTTTTCAATACTAGTTGCATTAAAAATTGCCAAAGCGCAAGGTGCACTGTTTGTGCAAGATTGTCTTGAATTTAAGAAAAGAAGAACGATATTACATCGCTTGCGCGCGTTTGTGCGCGCGTATACGCCCGCTCTTTAAAGGAAACTTGAAAGTTTAATTTCCGAAGCGCGCTTTGCGGCATTTTTCTTAAAGCAAGATCAACTGCGAATTATGGCCAAGGAATCTATAAGTAAGAGTAGCTCGGCAAGTCTCCAAACATCCTGTGTAAACTTTTCAGAAGCAACTTTTTTAGATAAACTTCTGCATTCATTACACTGGTAAGAGAAAGAAAACGCGTCAAAGATGAGAAGTGGATTTTCCTGCGCAAACCCGTCGTCTCTCGCCGCCGCTTTGAGAACCTCTGCACCCACATATCATTCTCGTAACAAGAACGTAGATAGCATGAAAAAAAAAACATACAACGACAAAGAGATGTCTCGCCGCACTCGTCGCGTTTTCCGCCAAATAAAAGACACAACAATAATGCCGTGTTATCGGATAAACAGTTCATCCACGAATTCTCGCGAATTACTTTTATCGAGGTGCAATAACTTCGTGGAATGTCCTCTCGTGATCCCGTGTCCAAATGTAACAGAAAATCACAGTGACGTCAAAATGACGAGGAAATAATTAATCGAGTCATAAATTTCTTTACTCGTTTTCTCGTCATCTCGACATCATTTTGACGTTATCATAACTTTTCCTTCTGTCTACTTTATTCTTCTTTTTACTTTTAATCGTGAAATTTTACACAATAGCGCGTGTGTTTAAGAGCGCGAATTACACGAGGCGCCGGGAACGTGCGCTCGAGTCGCATTTTCGCACGACGGAATCAAGTTAATATAATGCAATGATTCTGCACTGGCCGCGTGCGCGAACCACACGTAACGTGTGTTGAAGCGCATATGTAAACGAAAGTCGCGTTGTGAAACTTCCTAATGCACTCCCGACGGGAAGCACGTGAGAAGCAAATTAGGCGATGCGAGACATAATGCCGTTTGACAATGCTAATTTGGGCTAACTTCGTAATAACTCCACGGGGAGGGAGCTTCATGTTTCTGTAGTGATTTTCCAACGGAGAGATTTTTCAGCGCGTCGCAGGGGAGAAGTCTTGAAGAGCGCGCGAGTCATTCTCTTTCTCTCTCTCGCGAGTCTCGTTTAGAAGATCTATCGTTTGTGCAATCATACCTCACTCCCATACGATTTTTCTCTCGAATTCTTTCTCCGTAGTTCTCTTGAAAATTCTGTTTTAGCTTCACTACACGGCTCTCAATCGACCTCGGCGCTTCGTGTGTATTCGTTATCTCAATGTAAACTGCTCCGGTGTTCTCTCGTGATGTGAATGCTCCTGGATCCGAAAGGGCTAAACGTTCAAGAAACCGAGGGACAAACATGGGGGTTGATCCAATTCGATGCGGAACTTGGGCTGAAGCAATGCGAGAGGCGATTTCAGAGCTTTATCTTAATGAGCGTTTATCCAACACGGGGATATGCGGAGGCGACGAAATGTGTGCGAGTAAGGAGATGTGTATGTGTGTGTGTGTGTGTGTGTGTGTGTGTGTGTGCGTGCGTGTGTCGCTATTTACAAACAGAGCTTTAATAGAGAGAATTTGCAGTCACGCGGAACCAATCTACATAATCTTACGTATACGCGGTGACGCATCAATCGTGCTCGCGCCAAATCGTCAACGGCGAGACGCGTTAACCCTTTTCTGATCGAGCCGAGAGAGAATGGAGTTTCAAGTAACTTTACAATGAATTAAGTTAACAGTTAAACTGCGATACGTTTGAACGCATTTTAACGTTTACTGTTATCTGATTATCCAATTTTGTGTTTTAATTAGCCCTGTAAAGGGTTAAACATGCTTATTGAAACAAGATTGTTTCTCGATAACTCGTTATTCATTAACTACGCGATATCGAGTTAGAATTATTAGCTAGAGAATCTATTAGCTGATTGCTGTATATTTTTCCATATTTTCCATATTCCGTATTTTGTTTGCACATGTCTTGATTTTACATATATACGAATAGTGTTCAGATTTTAAAAAGGAGAAGAAAGTTAACCCGCTTATTATCGTTGAATTCTCATGCGTTCTATCTTTCTATCTTTTCTATCTTTGTTTCTCGGAACTCTTATCTCACACGCGTTTAATGTCTTTTGTTTTCTTCCTTTTTTATCTCGAAACACGTTCACGTTAGCAAGGAATAAAAGCCACTGCTTAATTCTCAAATAAGAAGTAGTCGGACGTTTCGTGCGACACACGAGATCAAGTCTGTACGGAGAGAATATTGTAATGAAAATTAGATTCCTTTTTACCATGTTTTTTACAGAGCTGGATGGTACTGTAAAATTGTGAAATTGTTGTGTAAACAACACAAGTAATATAAAATTAATACGAAAATGTAACACTTGGACAGTATTGCGTTATTTAGAAAAAATGAATATTGAACTTACAACGCAGAGAAAGTCGAAATAACATAACGACAATACGTGAAATTAACACACGAATACGTTAAAAATTTCTACGCAGATCGAGATTTCAATATTTTTTACCGTGTATCATATTAAATATTTTTTATCAAATATTTTTTACCGTGTACAATATTTTCTCCGTGTCTCTCTTCTATCTATTTCCAGATTAACGAGGCATTGGTTATACATTTTTCGCGTCCCAATTGGCAGTTCACAAATATCCGTTGATCTATCGGCCGTGTGACCAGTTTCGAAGCAACTTAATAATTGCCACGAATACCCGGATTATAACACGCAATAACGAATAGATTAATTGTGATTTTCGGCGATATCACGCGACTAATTGGATCGATGAGTGAGCCGAGGTTGAAATTATTAACGCGAGGGGTTTAATGGCTGGAATAACTCGACGATCGTGGATGGAAGTCGACGCGCTTCTTATATTTCGAGGCTCTCCGTGTCCCGGATATTTTTTTTATTACTTGTCATCGTCGCGCATTTCTTACAACGGCACCGTAATGACGCGCATCGCTTCACCGTTTGAAATTTTCAAAGAGCACTGCGAAACATTTGTTTGATCGTTATCGATGCATCAATGCGCGTTTCCGAGCATGTTTTAAATCACAAGCCAGACGACCCTTCCTCTCTTCTTCTCGCAACGAGAGTTGCTTCAGCTTGATGAACATATAATTGCAATGCGGCGGCCATTAATTGCGCTTCGTAGTTTGCAAAAACGACAGCGCAGTGCGCGCGCGTACATAATACGGCTAAATGAATTTACGATAAAGCGGCTGAGAAATGGAAATGAGGAGATTCCGTGAAATATATGCTGCGATTTGTCCGGCGCGTTTGCTCAGTGGAAGCAATGCGATTTCCACGGTTTGCAATATCGTGTCTCGAATCTCTCGATTAATTTCACTATTCCGCCTAAGCAGAGAATTTGTCGGCGATATTACGGGTACACGTGTATGAAATGTGATATTTATAAGTGCGCTGCCGTGGCACACGCGACACGTGTACGTAACAGACACTGTTAAGCCGCTGGGAATTGAAACTCGTGTGAACCCTTCGCGGGACTACGATCCTCTTAAGTTTCCGGGGCAATTAATGCACGTTTTGTTAATTCGGCACGAGCAAATGCGTCGGACTCTTTTTCCCTGAACTCGCTAAAATCGCGGCTAACCGCAACGTCCGAAATAGAAAAAGGCGTGGAAGGATGTCTCTTAATTTAGCCGAGTCACTGATCGTACGCTGCTCATTCTCGTTGCTCTATATTTTTCGACAATAACCCCTTGAACGTTTCAGCATCGAACGCGGATGCGTTAGCCATTTCAAGCGCGTCAGGACCAAAACTATTCCACCAAGTGTTTTGCGCTCGCGTTGCGGTAGGACAAAATTGTCCCGTCGAATATTTCCACCCCGGCACCGTTTTGCGGTCGATATTGGAAGGGCTAAAAACTCGAGGAAATTGGATCTGCTTGTGTTTGAATGTGTTCGCGTTTATATGGCACGGTGCGTTTTGGGGAAAAACGTAAGTCAGGTTGGAGAATTCTGCGGGAAAAAAATGCGTCCCTGACCGAGTATCGGCGCACGTACGAGTCGTGCGGCGTTCACTTCATTTTTTAATATTACGTCAACTGAATTCACGTAATTACTCAACGTGTTACGGTTTCAAGCTCTCCCTCTTGAAAGTTTCGCGAAACGTACAGCTCGATGTTGCGGTAAATGGAGTCAAACAATTGACAAGAACTAATTGTCATCAAACGTCACTTCGACTTGTATACCGATGTCGATTTTCTCGTAACGAGGACTCTGATGACAATCGTTGAAAATTGCTTTCGAAAATCGCTGTTTCTGTTTTTTTTTTTCTTTTTGGCAGAAGAACGACTCGAGACGCAAGCTTTCTCGGCCGATTTCCCGACGCAGAAAGCTCGAAACGGTACTAATACCGACAAATGGTGCGACAAATCCGAGCGATATGGGGCCATACGTATAGTAGTGTAATGTATACGAATGCTTTCACCTTTGTTTATCGACGGAGAAAAGTGAATGAGAATAACATGGTGCTAAGTCATTCCTCGTTAAAGGGGAACGACGTCGTACGTTACTACGAACATTCGCGAGTTTCCAGCATCGCGTACACACTGTTCGCGCGCGTATGCTTGCCTGTGATATACTTTTAACGGCGCTTGATTGCTATCACACCGCCCTTGGATCGTTAATCGCTTCGCGAATCTCTCGAGGGCTTCGACACTGGGCGACATAGTACGAATTTTGCACGTACTCTCTCCCCCTTAAGAAGATCCTCTTAGTGAAAGAATAAAGGAATAAAGGAACGGATCTTAGTCTCTCTCAGTAATCGTCTCCTGGATTGTGAAACGTTACGTGATTTCTTTTCATTTATAAGTAGCCTTTCGTATCTTTCCACATTTTTTTCATTCGCTCATCTTCGCTGAAAATTGACTCGTTTGAGAATTAAAAGTTAATTGTATGTAGACAGAGAGAGAAAGGGAGAGACTTCGCCCCTAGTTCAACAAATCCAATATCGCTTCTCTAAGTGGTAAATATTTACGTCGAAAGCCAAGGAGATCGATCGTAATCATATGAGAATGACGGTGATGATAATAATGCTGATTGTAATTAATAATTTTATCAATTAGTCGTTGTATGAGACGCGAAGTGTATGTGTGTGTGTATGTGTGTGTGTACTCCGGAGGAAAATTAAATATTTAAAAACGGCTTGCCGATTCAGCGATTCATACTTAGTCGATTGGCGTTTAAATTATAAAAATCGCGTGGATTTCGGATTTAAAAAATCAAGCCGAGCTCGATGACGGCGTTTCCGGAACCGCAAGAGCGAACGCAAACAAGAGGACGTCCGAGATTAAGTTGCTAGAGTTTAAGTATGGCACACCCGTTCGGTGTGCGAGATACCTGCCTCGAGTACGATCCAATCTCTGACGCAATGCCGATCTTTCCGAAAAGTTTTGCCAAAGAGATATTTTACTAGACGCCGCGCAGTGTCCGAACTGAGACATATCCACGCCTGAGCATAAGTTTCCTGAATATTTTCACCCTGGGAATGAGGACGAGAAGATGTTCAGAGCTTGGAGAGAATGTATTCGGGACAAGTGCCTCAAGTCATGACTCGCAGAGCGAATTTATTTAATGAATTTAATCGTCCTACATAGAGAGACAAGAAGAAGTGATATCCTCGTCGTCTGATGGAAAGCGCGCGCGCGATCACGCGCTTTCCTCTCGCGCCTCGCCATTGTACTTTTCCTCTCCTCTTTCTTCTCTACTCGATCGACCCAGCTCAGCAGAGAGAACATTGAATTTATTAATCGACCAATTTCTCTAAGCTTACACTTTAAACTAACGTTTACAAAGAAAGGAAGATATATATATATATATATATATATATATATATATATATATATATATATATATATATATATATATATATACATACATATATAATTATTCTCGATCGTAATTATATCGTTTAATGATCAAGGGGCCTTTTATGTATGATGAGAGCAATCGTTCGGAATTCATAAAATTACGAGATTACAATAAAAATTTATTCCAAGCGATACATTCATTGGAATATCGCTATAAAAGAAAACCCGATATATATGAATAAGAGTCCCTGGTTTTAATCTTCCCTTGATTCCTCGATCGACAAGATCGGCACGTCGTACCCGACGTCTTTCGTAGATATAATCCGATAGCGTAAGGATATGTAATGATAAGGCGAAAGTAAGAATTGATATACCACGAGGAATGTTACAGAGCAATAAAGTTTATTCACATGATCCTGTCATCGGTGATTATACTTACGTGTAAACACGCTTGCTCATGTCTCCACAGCACATTTACGTGTGTGTAACGTGGGCGCAAGATGTTTATTAACGGGGTATTCGAGTGTGAAATTTAGAGCACCCGATAGCTCGTCGTCGTGCAAAATTGCTTAATGACACGATGCGCAAGCGTTGTCACACGTTACATCTCCCTAATCCTTCCAAACTGTGTCGTATAGGTCCGTGCGACGTTGACCGAACGTTGGAATTTGTGACCTGACTTCGTCCACAACTTTCAGATCTGCGATAAGCAATTATTTCAACGCATGTAGCTCGAACAACGTATTTTCAATTTTTGTAAAAAAGCATTTTTACAGTTACATTAACTGCGAAATATTGAAGCATAAAATTGCTGACACGCAAGCTCTGTTTTGCTTAAGGACAGTTCTGTATTCAGAATAGATTGATAAATTTCATATGAATGTATCTCTATTCATTGTGAATCAACGATTTCAGAAAATACTCGACGACTGGAAGCCCGGAGATTCATCACTATTTTAACATAACTTCTGAGGAAAACTCACCTATGTTTGCTACCAGCATACTTTCGGAGTCATCCAGCTCGTTGAGTATTTCTCCCCAAGGGTTGGTTAACTGGGTATGCCCCCAAGCGACGTATCCGGGCGGCGAGCCACGTGCCGGCGAAACGCAGGCTACATATAATTGATTGTCGTTTGCTCTGGAACGCTGCAGTAACGACCAATGCAGCGGGCCCGTGGTCATGTTGAATGCCGCAGGGTAGATCAACATCTGGCAGCCTGATATCACAAGACCAGATTCAGAATGACAGCTTACAGCAGTGACAGTCAGTCGACGGCTCCGCCGTGCGAGCGTTGCTTCGTTTCAGTCGAGACAGGTAAGCAATTTGTGACAAACGCAAAAAAGCATGGCAAACATGGAGTGTGAGTGAAATGAAGGCGACGTGTCAATACCTGGACACTTACCTAACTCTAGGCATTCTTATTGTTTTGGTCCTTTTAAATACAAATATTTAAACTTTCAATATAGAATATATATATGCATAATATGTTTTTAATATGTTTTTAATATGTTTTTAATAATTTATGCATAATATGTTTAATATATGCATATATATTCTCTATGTTAGAGATTTAAATATTGGTACTTAAAGACCAAAACAATAAAAATGCTCAGAGTTAAGTACGTGTCCAAGCATTGAAACTGCAAACATTGAAACTCTTACTTTAATTTATGTATAGCACGAAAAATGTTGCAGATACAATAAAGTTTATTCGCATGACCCTGTCACTAGTGATTATACTTGGGTGTAAACACGCCCACCCGTGTCCTCACAGGATGCATGTCTGTTTACTATGTGCCTGTGTGTGACGTGGGCGTGAGAGGTTTATTGACAGAGTATTCGAGTATAAAATTTAAAGTACCCAACGTATCGCAACGAAATAAAAATGTTGTTCATTAAATACATAAAACATTTTTTTATAAAAATTATGTACGTAGAATGAATAAATTTATATGCAAAAATTGTAAAAAAATGACATATTCACACAAAAAATTATATACTAAATGATGAATGGAATTCTGTCTTGAATTCTCTGTTATGAGTCATGAATTGTTTACAACTCGAAATTATATTCAATCAGCTGTAAAATATCGCGTGTTTTCCTTGAATATTACTATAATTTATCATATTCATCGGAACATGAAACGAGTAATTATCTCGTTTCAAAGGCAACCAAAGCACGTGAACGTTTAAAGCATAATGTCAATAAACGCGTTAAACTCTATCTCATTATTTTCCCAGCGATATCGCATCAAGCTTTATCAGTATTCCGTGTGTAATATCGATTTACCTCTGTTTCTATAAAGTCGCGCCATTTCCTCGAACCTGATGTCATAGCAAATGCCGATGCCGATTTTGCAACCTTTTGCCTCAAAGGTTGTCAAGGAATTCCCGGGCGACAGCGAGTCGCTCTCTCGGAATGTGATTTTCCCTTTAATGTCGATGTCAAACAGATGCATCTATAAACAAGAAAGCACTTTATAAAGTGCGCGCTGTTCTGTATACCGTTGGCGTTTATTCAACATACATACAAGTAACCTCTACAAAATATTTGTGTTGTGTGTGTGTATTTTTTCTTTTTTTAGAATTCCTCAACACTTTCATACTATTGACTCTAAATTAACGTTGTAGCGAAATTTCGAATGAAAACTGTCAATGTAAAATCTTTTCGAGATTCGCGCGCGACATTGTCTCTCTTTTTCCTTTAAAAATATAAGTTCAATCTTCATTAATTTTTTCATTACCAATTTTGTTTTTTAAAAGTACAATTTTTTTTTTATTTTCACCTCACTAAATATACTAAAATAATATAGTTTTAACAAAAAATATAAAAGTTTTATATTTTTTAACATAAATAACAGCTAATGTCTTCTGAGTATCAAAAAGTTGCTTATTTAATTGAATAGATATTTATAATTGAATTATTAGTGATAGTGAAAACGTATATCTCGTTGATAGCAAAAGAGTTAAATATTCGAAAACTGTCGATAACTCATCGTTATTAGTGGAAAAATATTTGTTTCGAAATCGCAAGGGGAGTATTTATGGCAGGAAGAACGATCATTCTGGGTTCCTGAATGCCGCTGACACTCTTACTTTTCTGTGCTTGGCCACGAGCTTTCCATCGGGTGCCCATACGGTACAAGTGTTGTACAACTTGTCATCCTCCCGCTCCGGTATTGTTCCGGCGATCACGTAAACGTCGTTCCTCCTCGCCGCTTCGGACAAAGCCACGCTCGTCTCGCCGCTGGGGATACTCTCGGCGTATTTCGCAAAGTGGGCTATTTGTTTATTCACGTCGGCGTTATCACGTGACACAACACGGGAGGGTGAGTCGCGTAAGTACACACATGAATAAAAATATCTGACGCGAAGTAGACGGCAACGAGATCCAGAGAGTGCAGAAAAAAACAACTCGACTCAGCTCCGTTCTATCTAGCGATCTTTCTTTATACATTCTGAACTGCGAACGAAATAAATAGAACGGTATAAGACCGAAATAAATTATTCTCAAGGAAAAACAAGAAGGAAAAGGAACAGTTTCTTTTCAACTGCATCTACACTCTGCACCGAGTGTAGATACAGGCGAAAAGAAGAGTCCAAAAGCATCGACCTGTCGTAACCAATCGCAAGCCGCATCGCCGAATTTCGAATTATCCAATAGCGTGCTCTGATTTCAAATTTCATCACAGCCACAACTGCCGACACAAGTCAAGAAAGTGCTAAGAATGTCTGAAAAAGTAACGTGAGGTAATCATTAGTCTATTCTTTGTCCGCGCATTCATTCTGAGATCTTTGGATCTATCTGGTTGCTCGACTGTTTTTAGACTCAACGTTTGTGTTGTACGGCAAGCTTTTCGTCGGACAATTACATGTTCCGTACGGCGAGTTGAAGCACTCGGGCAGCGTCACAATGTCGGCGTGTTCCTGTTGTTTAGCGCGCTCGATGAATGAGACGGCTCGCGCGACGTTCGTCGCCTTATCCTTCCCGACTGCCAGCTGTACCAAAGCCAAGCGTAGCGCTGAAAGCAGGTTCGATAATCATGTTAATTCACGACTGCAATTGCAGTCTTATCTCTTGCGACACGCGCGATCGTTATCGGAAGATAATGAACGAACGAGAAAGACGAATTGTAATTCTCCGAGCCAAACTATGCACTTATTCTATTATCTGTATTTCGTTCAATCCTCGAAAGATTCCTTATTTTCACTCGCGTAGAACACGTTGGCACAATTTAATCGAAATATCGAGCCTCCTGCATAAAACAGTTGAACTATTATTATGAATTTTTCATATTACTGTGATAAACTATCCTTCACATTTCACTTTCTAAATGTTACTAGTTCTCTCTTACTCACTCTCAAACATTTGAATATACCTCCATTTCATTCTATGTGCACAAAGTGCAGCAAAATTAAATGGCTCTTATAGCCTGTAAAATGAGAAATACTTTACAACTATGAAAATAATTCATTGAAATTAGTTAATTTTTGTCAGTAAGATTTGACTATCGTAGCTCATAATTATTTGATTCATCAGTCTGCTTGCAATGATTAATAGTAAACAATCGCTCCGCCAGACACTTGTTAGCACAGTTAGATATAGTGTGATAAATAAAATTATGTTCTTCACTTTTTCCCGAAACGTCGTACAAAAAAGGCTTCACGATACCCGAATCTCGCGTGTCGCAAAAAAAGAATAATCGCGCACGTACTTGACATCGTTCTTAGTCCACGCAGCACGACATTCGCACGTAGCATGATAGGTTAGGTAAGGTTAAGTTTCATACTTGCATCTGCTCTTTATCTCGATGACGTAAAACAAGACCGCAAATATTATCTGTTATTATGAGATCATTTCTATAAAGAATATTGTTATGTATATACGACGTTAAAACGAATTAATAATTTTCATTCGGATTGAAGAGGAAGATGTGAAAGAAAAGCGTTTGGAAAAATAAGTTTTATTAAAAAGTGTAATACAAATAAAAGTGTATAAGACGTTGATTCCGGAACATAAAACATATCGCAACTTATACATATTATCGTCTACTAGACGATCAAGATCTTCTGCGCTTCTTAGATTTTCTCCTGTCAGGAGATTCAGAGTACCTTGATTTCTTATCTTTTCTGTGTTCTTTGTCTCTCTCTTTATGCTTCTTCGATTTTTTAGTCTTTTTTGCCTTATGTGTATCGCTACTACTGGAACTTCTTCTTCTTTTACTTTTCCTCTTGCTATCACTGTCGCTGTTACTCTCAGATATGTCTCTTCGTCTACTTTTTGACTTTTTGCTTGATTTCTTTGATTTGTGTTTATTTTCATCTTCTTTGCACTTTTTCTTCTTGTCAAGCATATCAGAATCACTGCTAAGAGATTCTGATGATACAGGTCTCTTCTTACTTGTACCTTCTTTGCTTTTGTATTCTTCATATTTAGTGGCATCTGAAATTAATTTCATCGAATACTGAAAACAAAACTTCAACCTTGTGCGACCAAGATAATACAGGGACTTTTAAATGATTTCAGATTATTTTATTATTTATTTTATTATTTATACAGTTTCTAAGATCTTTGGATCTATAAATTACAATTTATAGTAAATGAATACTGGTGATTATTTATTAGTAAATGAAGATCAAGCTGATTGTAATCAGCTTGATCTTCATTTACTAATTATAAATCGCCAGTTACTATGAATTTTAAGATCTTTGATATAAAAGTTTTATGTGTAATATATCCATTTAAAAATCCCCAAAAGAGATAATTTATTTTTAATTTACTAACTTAGAACTTTGGAATTTTTTAAATATTCTGCTTTTGTTACCGCTCGAACTGTACATTCATTCACAGAAATAGTATTTCCTCCTAGAGCCATTTTTACAATTAATCTTCCTGCATCTTCATCAAAGCCTTCTATCTGGCCATATGTGTTGGACTGCTTGCCAACAATGATTTTGATGAAACTTCCCCTCTCCATTCGCAATTCTTCCTCTTCCTTCTGAGGTTTTCCACTCTGTTTCTGTAATGTGATCTTATCTGCACCCAGTCCCATTCCTTTTGGACGTAATTCAGGTACAACAGTTGCTACGAATCTGTAAAAGTAACACCCAGAAATATAGAGAGGACAGTTAATATACATAGAAATTCAGAACTAAAATAAAGAACATAGTAAACATACAGCATAGATTTCACATAAAACAAAGCACATACTTTTCATTTTTACCGATCCCTTTGCCAGGTTTCCATCCCATTCCACGCAACATAGCCAAACCAAAGGCATCTACTGGAATCTTCTCATAATCGTCTATTGTGCTCTGTATATAAGAGGAAAATAGTAGTAATAAGTGATTTATAACATACACTTTTTAATATTATCAATTGTCTCAGAAATACTTACTTCTTCGACACCTCTTAAATTCTGTTCCTCTGTTAAGGGTAAAGTTAGATCATTCAATTTGTCACCCTTCTTCTCTTTCGATTCAAGATCCTCTATAATTTCTTTAGCTGCCTGCTCTTCCAAAGTAAGAGTTTTACTTTCACTTTCATCGAGTGGTTCTGTTTTTATCAATACACTTGAAGCATTATTATCAACTGACGTCACATCTCCATTAGATACTTCCTTTGGTTCTTCTTTGATCTGAACAGTTTGTTTATTGTTCTCACTTACTACTTTGGATTCAAATATGTCAGCATCTATTTTATTAACAATTCTATCATGCCAAGTCTTAGGTCCTAAAAGTGGGATAATAAGCGGCTCTTCTTTTTTTTCTTCTTCCCTGAACAAGAATATATTTGTTAATACAAAGTTGATTTGTAGAATTTAGTTATGTCAGAATGAGCGCACAGAATAGTAATATATTTTTTTAACTTACCCAATCACTTTAATTGCTTTCTCATCGAGGCAAACGATGTAATCCACTTTTTTCTGCTCCTGTAGCACCTGCTTCACCAACGCTGGTTTTTTTATAGACTTAGCAAAGCCAAAGGAAATCTTTTTACTTTCTTCAGCCATTTTAACAATAATTCCCAAATTTTTTATAATTTATAATTTTTACATCACGGTTGAGCAACGGTTATACGATTTCTTCTTGTTTTTCGTTAAAATTACACTGGCATAAACATACATCCATCAATTCGCTTAAATTTACGTATCTCGATGTATACTTTGTATTTATGGAAGCTCTCGCCATAAACTATACAAAATACATGACGTCGAAACGCTACTAGGCGATGGTCGATTCTCTTAGGTGCAACTCTATGTTACACTTTTTGCACTTTAGTTACAATAAGTATATATTAAGGATCTTGAGGAAATAAGAGATTTGGACAATAATAATCATTTTCATATTGTTATTTAATGTTTCAGATATTTGAACTGTTTCTAGTCCTCTCTGCATGACTTTTAATAAACAAGTAAGTTATCGTGGAGATTGGCCACTTGCGGCGCTGCTTCGAGTATCGATATGTCCTTCGAGACTTGCGACCATCTTGATATAGACACTGCGTGTTCGAAAAGTCGTATCGTATTTCTCGCGGCTGTTTGGCTCATTTAAAGTATGTCTCACTCACGAATTATTATCTCCGGCGGTGTCAAAAGTAAGTTTCGCATGTTCTTTGTGATATTCATAGGACAATCGCCGAAAGCGATGATCTTATATCGTGGTACATTTAGAGCACCGAGCCAATTGTTCTGTCTCCGTCGCGTAATTGTGGTTAGACATTCAAGTCGTTTCTCCTTTTTCCAACCTATCGAAGGGGAGTTTGGTTTGATTGGGAATATTGAAAGTAAATTTCTCGCGTTCGTCGCGTCCGAGACAATCACTTATGATGAATGTCTTGTGGAACGAGCTGAGTGCCGAGTGAAGTTTCGCGCGTGATGACGTATCTAGCTTCGAATATTTGAATCGTTGCGATGTTCAGTCAGTTACAAACACGGAACAAATGGCGACGCGGCAGTTCGGACTCGAAAAATCGCTCCGCATTACTCGCGATTTGGGCTATTCAAAAGTGAATCTCGTACTCCAGTTGTCGTCCCCGAGATTGCCAAAAGTAAGTCTCGCACTTATGTTTTGATTGAACATCGTGCAACAGTCGTCAAACGCGAAATATCTCGCGAAATGGTCCGTCGAGATTGTCAAGCAAAGTATCGCGCGTTTACACGTAATGGCGACTCGGAATGTCCTTACGCTTTCGACCGACCGAAGAGGTCTCGCGAGCGAATTATCGTCGTGAGTGCCGGAAGTAAGTCTCGCGCATAAACGATTATCGAGAGTGCCGGAAATGAGTCTTGTGCGTTTGTCGCGAAATCGTTACCGGAAGTATCGCGAAACGTGAGTGCCGAGTAAAATGTCGCGCGTTCGTTCGTCTAATAACGACGCGAAATTTGAATTTTCATTGTTGTGCTTGGACACTTTCGAGTCATCGACAGGACGTCTCGTCTGCAAGCTGTCATCGGAAATGCCCTGCGGAGAATGAAATTCACGTCGCTGCTTTCTGGGCTTTTGACCTATCAAGGAAAGAACTCAGTAAGTGTAATATATTAAAAGCTTTAATATTATACGCTTGTGACTCTTGCACATTGAATAGCATGTCAAATTACATATTCATTCATGGCTTTAAGTCACGTATAAAACAACCGATTTGTCTTGAAACAAGAGAAAAGCACATTGCCTGAGACTAAGAACCGAAATAAAAATAATATATACACTGGGAGAGAAGAAATGTCTAAGAAATAAAAAAATACTTATTCCTTGAGCACCAATAACATATTTACTTAAATTTAAATTTCTTTAATTAAATAGAATAAATAATTACTTTTATGGTAAGCTAAGGTTTTGAGAAAATGTATATTTTCTTATTTGAAGAGTATTTTTTATACTAATATAAAGTAAATATATTATTAGTACCTACCGAATAAATATCTTTTATTTCTTAGATATTTTTTTTCTCAGTGTACAATTATACATAATTCTATATTTTGTAGAACAATATTCTACACTTTTTAGTTTTTATAATAATATATATTTTTTACTTCAGCAAAGAAATACAGCCAAGAAGTAGGACTTGGTTTGCAATATTACTTATTCATTCATTCCTCTACTCTCATTCAACCTTTCATTCTTTAATTTCTACCTAAGCTATCTAACCTGTATAACTTTAATTCTACTTATTTATAAACTTTATAATTTTATACTCTATGATCATCCCTTTTCTCTTATTGATTTAATTCTACTTCTAAACTATATTACCTTCTTATCACAGTTCTATTACTTCTCATTCTTACTTTTCCTCTTTCTCCTTTTCGCTTTCTATTTTCTTTTTCATCCATAGATTCTTTAAAATAGTTCTCTCTCTTCTTTTTTCATTTAACGTATCATCCTAAATTCTTCTTATCCGTTCCTCCTCACTCTTTCGCAAATTATTCTTTTGCAATTTCACATTTTATTATACAAAGTCTTATATTATCTTTCACTTTTTTACATTTTCAAATCATTCTTTTGCAATTTCACATTTTATCATACAAAGTCTTATATTATCCTTCACTTTTTCACTTTTTATAGTTCTTATATATACTATGTCATATATTTTATAAAATTACAATTTTTATAAAATGTAGAAAAAATCGCATGTTTCATAGTTTTTGGGTAAATATAATTTTTCATGACATGCTCATGATTAACAGACATACTTATATTAAAATTTTAGTTTTCTTTAAGTGAGACTAGTCTCAAGCAATGATGAAATATCATTAAAGATCGATGATTTTTGAAAGTCTAACATCAGCAATTGAGAATCTAACTCTGCAATTATCTTTATGATCACCTTCTTCCTCTGCTGCATCGCCCCATTGACAAAATTTTATTCAAAGTAATTATCGTTAGTGCGAGATGAATAACTTGCAAATAATTAATTTTTTATATGATTTGATATAATATATTACTCCACAAATAGTCTTAGGCACACATAAATTTTACACGTATAGACATAGGTATGTGTGGTTTAATAGAGGTACACTGTAAAAATTGTTGTAGAAAATTCAATTCGTATTTCACATATCTCAATTTACCCACTCTAATTTTTTGTGTTAATTTAATATAAGGCAAGTACGTAAACAAATAATATGTTTGAAATTGATACCAAAATTTTTACACGGATCGATTTCAATAAAAATTTTTTTACTATGTAGGAAAACAAACCAATACAAGAAAGAACTAGTATAGTTGTACATGTATTCCAAGACAATTTATCATGTCCTGACTTTAGTATCCATATCGCATAATTAATGACAGGTTCCGGCTATCACAACCCATACTAATTGTGCTGCATGTTCGTAATGAGCGTGTCGAGTTTAAACACAATGGAGCAGAAGTTGAAATGATAATTATCATACGGTACTATACATTACTAGCTTGATCGCTTCATTGTGCCGCCGATGATTTATGCATCGCGACGCATGGCAGCGTTATTAATTATTACGTCGCTTCCGACTATATAATGTTCGCTTAGACTTGGTCCTTTTGTGACTTTCTGCTTCGCTTGTAACACACAGCCATAAAAAGTGCGGCCAAGATCTTACAGACATTTTGCTCCTTTTTTCAAAAACTTTGAATATTCCAATTATTGATACACCGATTTGGAATTATTCTCGTATAGTTGTTTGGGAAATAAAAAACAATTCAAAACCTCTATTTTGCAATCATTTTGGAATATTCAAAAATATAATTATAAAAATATAATATAAATTATATAATACAAATTATAAAAATATAATACAGAGTTTAATAATCGATTAATTAAAATATAATATAGTCTTTAATAATCGATTCATTATTTGTTGAAATATTCAAAAATATAATATAGGATTTTACAAAATTCTATGGAAAAGCAAAATTCATAACACCTTCAAGTACTTAAATAATAATGTGCTCTCTTTCCTTTTACTATACCGGTTATACAAAGAGCCGAAACTCCAATTCGATTTAGAAATACGTCTGTCAAGTTCGTCGAACTTAAATTCGCGTCCGTCATGCGGTATTCGCGCAGATTATGTCCGGGAAAAATCCGTCAAGGACAGTTTCGGGAATATCCTGTTTACTCGAGCCCAGGTTGTTGCACTATCTTGGTCGTACGACGCGACTGGTCTAACTATCTTTCGGTACAGGCCTTACAGTTAAAAACGACGACCAATTGTGAACGGTAGTTAACTCCGTGGTAGAGGGGTGAGCGTGTCTCAGCTGCGACAACTGAACGGTATGTAGATACGGAGCCGGGGTAAGCCCGTAGCCCGTGGGCTACCTGCTCGCTAGTAATCATAGTCACTCCGGACAGTCAACGACACTCGTGAGACCCGCAGACGGACAGCAGGTACATTATTTAGCGAAGCTTAAAGTGACCTTCTGTCAGTGCGGCCTAGTATAACGTAACATTAACATTCGAACATAAACAAACGATAAACAAGAGCGCAACGATCTGGAGCACGAAGAAATGTTCCCTTTCCTTTCGCATAAACTGAGAAGAATACAGCGTCGCTGTGATTCGATTCGACAAATTTGAGAAATTCATCCTTTATTTTTATGTGCGTATTTAATTATATTATAATAATTTCAAAACAACTTCCTCTTTGTTTACAAAATACAGTTATATTATTTTGCTTTTTCGTGTTTTTTTTCTTTCTTCGGAATATAATTTGCCTTTGCTCAATGGAAAATTTGATAATACAGTAAATAGGAAAATTGCGCGCGCTTTGTAATATATTCGTGTATCTATTCCGGAGATTAAAAAATTTTTAAATATTTTTTTTATTTCTTTAATTACAATATCACGACATAATTCTCATGGATTTATAATAAATTATTATCTAAATTATTATTCCTGAATTAATATCCCTGAATTATTATCTGTTAGCGCATATATCGAACAAAGTGTTTTGATGAGTGAAATTTATTTATATACATATCGAAAATCGTATATTAAAAGCGAGACGAGATGTTTAAGCTTTGATCGCATCATATGTAAAAGGCAAAATGATTATCGCGTACATGTTGGCAAAACAATTTCAAAGAGTGGAGTTTGCATTTAATTTTAACGTCAGTAGCTTTCGAATTAACGATAATACGTAATTATATTAAACGTGCTTACCCTTCGCCCTCTGTAACAGACTCGGAGATGGTTGCAATTTAGCGGCTCGTAATTACCATTGTGCCATTTGTCTAATTTAACATTGCATTCTGCCGCGCATTGCTGTTGATGAATAAATTTACGTGGATGTATTTGCAAGGAGACGTGCACAGTATATGTTGGTATAAGCATGCTTCTCGTTATAAAATTTACTCCACCGCGACGCGTTTGTGTTCCCAAATATTTCGAAAGTTCATACCACAGTAGCTGCCGTCGTTTTGTATCTCCCAAAATAATTTTCTTATTTGACGTTTAAAAATGCGGTAACTATATCAGAGATTTTATTACGAAATTGACTGCGTTTAAATTTTGTTTTGACCGTTCGCATATTTGTTTTCGACTAATTATGCTCTTTTAGGATATAAATATTTTTCCGTATTATTAAGTCGGATTTATTCTCTTCATCCTCCGTCCCTTCTCTTTCTCTTTCTCGTTTCTAATATTTTCCTTGTTGAAGTGGGTGCAAGCAAGTCCGTTAAGAACGGTGACGTTTCCGCTACACGCTGCGTTCTCCACGTTCCAATTTCCAAGACAGTAAAGTGTCAGCGTCCAGTTCCGTCGTGAGACGTGTTGTTTGGCCAATTAAAAACGATGTCTAATTGCGAATCTTCTCGGCGTAGCGTCGGTGTAGCCTAACTGTAAATCACGGGTATAACTGTGCGACGCCAGCAGTGGTAACGGCGAGATCGTCGCCCTGCTGAAGATTTGTTCCGCTACATCGCCGTAGGTACCGACCTCTCGCTCACAGTCGCGCAGCTCGTCGTCTGTTACCGGCATATTCACAATGTAACGTTTGTAACTGTGGAGCAATGACTCAACGCGAAACCGGAAGCTTTCAACGTTTGCCACTCGTCAATTAAGATCCTGCCCCGTAAAACAATATCGACGTTCTTTATTCGCGACAATCTCACGTTGCTTACGAAGTCACGTTGCTTGTTTTCCATTAAAATGGTGATGGATTTTTTTTCGTCTCCGACGATAATTCGCGTAGCACAAAAACCAAATTCTCTTCGATGTGAGGGAAAAGAGATGTAGCAAGCAATGAACAATGTTTCTTTTGAAACAATACAGGGTCGTCTACAATGTGGTCGCGTCTTCAAGTTATAGTACTAGTCTGTGAGTCGATCGTGTGTTTCTATCGCGTAAATTTATAGAAAGTGAAAAGTTTCATTGATCACGGTTCAATGAAACTTGTTATTTTTCACAAAGGAGATAGGTACACATGATCGATTCGCAGATTACAAGTGACAACTTTGAGACGTAACTGCGACCGCATTGTAGACGAGCTTTAAGAAAAAGTACCGTGAGATGAAAACTAATTTCGTCGGAGCTTTCGTCGACGAGAGTACGACCCGATCTCGAACCGTGGTAAACGTGCTCGAACGAACAATCGTCCGGCCGGATCTACGAGCCACGCCGGAACTTAACATAATACCGCGGAAACGGCCTGGGAAATTATATTTGTTATGGAGAATCGACCGTGTCTACGTTGGAGGACGATTTGATCTCTGACCGCGCAACGACCGGACGGAGCGGTCATTGAATGTGTATCGCCGGTTCTTTTATTTTTCCACAGTCGCGCGTTTCGTGGTGAAAAGTGTGACATTCACGGTTACGTTCAAAGTGTACTACGCGACAATCAGACCGATTCGCGAATGTCGGCCTCGCGTGTAAGAGAAATGCGTGAAAGTACAATTTGTTTATTTAGGCGAGTGCGCGTCACGGTGGTCTTGCACCTTTTAATTTATTCATTGAGGCGCTATTTGCATGGAATCTTTACTTACCTTGCGTTTGCATTTCATTAAGTTCGCAATTTAGAAATTAACGAGCTTGATTGAATCGCACGCATCTCCTATCTTTTCATCTATTTGCACTAATTTATCGTACTAGCACATATCTGCACGCTGTTAAAATTAAGGGAATTTTAAAATTAAGAGAATTTTAAAAACCACGAATTATCGATTTATTTTGTAAACGATGCGGGACTTTTTTAAATGGATACTGAAGCAATTATTACTTTAGTAAGCTCACAAAGATACAAACCACATCTGAAATAATTGGTATACACAGAGAAAAAAAATGTCTAAAAGAAGTAAGTATTTCTTTGACATGGGAATACTAATAACATATTCACTCAAATCTAAATTCTTTTATTTAAACAAATTAAACAATAGCTTTTATAAAAAGCTACGATTTTTTACTATTTTAAGAAAATGTATATTTTTCTATTTGTGAAGAATAATTTATATTAGTATAAGTAAATATATTATTATAGTACTCACCGAATAAATATTTAATATTCCATAGATATTTTCTTTTCTCAGTGTGTATAACTGTATCTTAAGATGATTTCTGAAAGCTGTAATTTAAACAATCTACGTTGTGCATTTGTTTTCTTTATTTATTTTTCTAATTCCTTAAAAAATCTATTAATTATATATAGAATATCTTTTTCTTTTAATTTTACGACATCCGTATTATTTGTGAAATAAATCGATGCGTCGGGCGGCTAATTCGACGATGTAGCGACTCGCATCTTTCAGACAAATTGCGACAATGCGCTTGTCAAGCATATTTCCATTGATCGTTCTACTGACTGGGGCTAACGCGGCCGGTATCGGCGAGGCTTGGCAAGTAACGCCGCATGCGAAATCCGTCTATACGGATCATCCGTTTCGACCACGACTGGACTCTTCGGCATTCGAGGTTCGCACCGTAAGCGGAGTAGGTCGTCTGGCCCCTCTCGACGAATCGGCAAACGCTCCGAAGCAACGTCCGGAATTCACCACACTGAGTTCCGTAGAACCGGACGCTCTTCCGGCTGGCGAGCAGGCATCTCGAGAGAGCAGAAACTTGGAGCATTTACGAGAGAGTTTGGAGGATTCATCGTACAATGACGACGACGACGATGAGACCGAAGAGGAAGATGGAATTGAGGACGACGCCGTTCCTATTCGAAAGTTGTTTAAAACAGAACTTATGATGAGATTATTGAATTTAAATAAGGAAGATGAAGATGACGATGACGATGACGACGACGACGACGATGAAGGGGAGTCTCCGAATGATACGAGAGGACTCATACAACGTGTTCGTCGGCAAGCAGAGAACGAGACGAGCATGGAGAAGATCTCAACGACTAAAAGCGTGCGTGAAGCTCGCCTGAACTTTCCCGAAACATGGTCGACATCGGTGCAACCGTTCTCGGTGGAGTTCCGTCATCGTATCCCTCTGGACCAAGTGGTTCAGCAACAACAGGAAGAGGAGGCAGCTCTGTCCAGCAGTTATCGAAGGCATCAGGCGCCTCGTGCGGACTTTGTGACGAGTCACCACCGACGAAGCTATCCCGAAAGCCGTGAATCCAGGGATATGCCGATCACTAGGAACTACCAGGACGACTATGAGACTCCATGGTACAGGAACGCGATACGCGAGAGAGACTACGAGTTCCCGTCGTACCGCCGAGGATATAGTTACCAGTATCCTGATCGTTACAGGACGGAGAGAGATTATTATATACGACCGTCGAACGACCCATACTACTACGATCGTTACGATCGTTACAGGGAGGACGACTTCGACCTCTACGGCAGAAGCCGACCGACTCCCAAGCCTAAACGTATCATCTACTACGCCACCCTGCCGGAGATCGTGAGGAAACCGGTGGATCTGAGAAATTACCCGCGAACTCCCTACGACGCGGCGAACACCGCTAAGTCCACGGGCACACGAGACAGCACTTACAAACGTATACCGGGCAATGTCGATCCCAGCAGGTTTCGATATCGAAACCTGTACGACGCCTACGACCCGTACATGAAAAGGTCGAGTTACTATGAGCGTCCCTATGGATATTCCGACTCAAGCGACACACGACATGTCAAGATCTCGACGAAGGAGAATCTGCGGAATGACGAGTTCAGCGCGGGCAATGAGCGGAAGGTGAGCAATCTCATAACGATCCGTGACGACGACGGCAAGCTGCCGTGGCCGATGCAGATAGGCGCGGAGGTGAGCATCAAGGAGGATGAGAGGATCCCCGGCAGGAAAATCTTTGGCGACAGCGCCTCCGGCTACGAGAGATTCCAGAGCGCGCAGCTGCAAAAGGCACCGGACGCCACGGGTTCCAGCGAACTCCAAAATGACAATTAATTCATTAATCAAATGCCACACATTCGTAAATCACTTTGTGGATATGAGCTGGACATATGACACGCAAAATTATACGAGAGAGGCTAGATATGCGTACAAGTAGGACAAGTATAAGCAAAACATATGTAATAAATATCTTTATACGATATGCAGGATATCCTAGGCTTAGAAAGCCATCCTTCGTTTGAGCTTCTTTGATCAACTCGAGATAGATTTTTCTGAATCGATATTTAGTCGATCGTACGAATTGTGTGTGTGGATTTCAAATATTGTTCTGTTGTCATAAGTTATCACTGTTGCAATTATTCGATTTCATGTACACACAAGCAAAGTTGTTGGGTGATACAGGAAAAAGATAAAAATTGATAGTCAACTAATCATTAGTTGATTGTCATCGTAAGTGAACAATCACCACGTAATCGATTGTTTTTAACATATAAAGACTATATATCGAATTTCTCCAAAATTCTTCAACCGATAATCGAAGATTATTAAAATGTTTCATTTAACTAATTTGAGGGGCGGCAGTAGGGGAGGTTATGGTTTAAATGTGTTGGGTACTCGGTTGGTTTATTACTTGGGGCTATTTGGTGTGGTATATTTAAATATATAAAATTATTGGAATAGAGTATATATGAGAATTGGCTGAAATAACAGCTGATTTATTCATTTATGCTTATGTATAATTTTTATTGGCGTACAAAATATTTGCAATATGAAATTGGAGTATATTTCTTTTTTACCATCGCATATGCCTAAGAAATAAGTTTTATACTAATTTAATAATTACATTATATATCCGCGATTATTAAATTAAGAAATTATTTAATATACGTATATGTATAAAAAATTGAGAGATTCCTTACACACTCTTTTCTCTCTCGTCTATTTTATATGTTCAACAATAAAGTTCCGAGATTCAGTTTTCGCTGAATCCACTGATTTTTAATTTTCCTAATAGTTCTTTGCTAGTTTTTCATAAAACTCCATTGAAGTTATCCCGTCCGCTTTCATATTGCATCCTTATGCCTTAAAATAACATTACACGATTATCCAAAGTAAAAGGATACAATAATAATTGAATTTTATCTATTACCAAGTTGATTTATTTTATAATTATTCTGTGAATAATTCTAAAGTACTAAATTTACAGCTTAGTACAGTTAATATGAATCACTCTCTATGTATTGACGTATTTTTTGAAATTAACCTACAATCGGTTAAGTCAGTATAGTAATGTAACTGTGCGCTAAGCTTGCACAGTTACCCGAGGGTAACTGTGCAGGTACAATCGCACGAGAATTTACCAACGAATAAGCGCTCGTTACCATAAGAGCTGCACGCTTTATCTGTGATCTGTAAACTATCGCCATCTGATGCCAAGTAAACCTGAGTAACAACATGATCATATTTAGGCCACAGTCGGTAAAATAATGATTGCTTGCGTCTTAACATCTCGCTTAATAAATTTACGAAACATTTAGGAGGTCAATGTGAAAATAAATTTTGCGTTTCAAAGTTGAACTTTCAACGTCATGAGACATAATTACGACGAAGAAAGTGTAATTGCCGAACCATTAACTTTCCTTAGAATTCGTATTAAAATCGCATTCGCAAAGTCACAATCACCGAGATAATTTCAGACAAAGATTTTATCCATGTTACTAGTGAAAAATTTTCTTCTCGGAGATTTTAACATTTATACGATCGTAAAAGGGAAAAAATAAGATTTCGGTTAATCGGAAACCGGACGTCGTTTCGGAACCGTTGAGACTTTTTCGTCATCGTATCATCATCGAGTAAAGTCAGAAATCATCGCATCGACCTCCTAATCGGCGATATTATCGTGCATTATCGGGCCATATGGAATTTGGGCCCGAAAATAGTCCCGTGCAGGAAATTGCTAACGACTTAAACGTTGGGGCGGCGCACTGGGACCGTAAGTCCCATGGCCCCAGTTGTGATGGATGGACCCCGGCCCACTCTGTAATTTGAAGGCGTTTTATGTGTGCCCTAACACGTACTCCTTCAATGATCCTCCATATGTCCCAATTGTCGTCCGATATAACCACGGGCTTGTGAACGGACGCAATGGCCCTTTATCGCGGTTTCGATACACGCGAATTATTGGCGTGGAATGAACTTTAATAATATTAAATTATTATCTCCGCGCGATTCACGAGAGATAATTTATCCGTTATTTTTTTCTACTCGCGTCACGAATTGTTTCAAAGAATTGAAGCGCGAGCGTTGCGATATTTTCCTATTCGCAAATAAGCATCTACGCGCGCCTCTTGCCGCAAATTTCACGTAACATGTTTAATAATTCTATCATCAGTGCGAAACGCCTTTTGAAATTTCACCGAATCTAAACGAAGTGCCCATTTGCCTTTTCGTTACAATCTCGCTAATTTCAAATTTACGGGCGAAAATTCGTGTTAATCGTTAAATGTTAGTACTTGCATGAATAAATTACGCGATGCGAAATCACATGGGGGGCAGCGGCGGCGCCGGCGGCGGCAGGGGCAAAGGGGGGAGGGGGGCAGCAGCAAAAACTTATGATACCACAATTCGCGTTGCGAATTACATAGTTATTTAATAAATCGCTTTACATGTGCTCGCTAGCGAGCTAATTAGTGCCCGCGCTATTATGCAAATCTTATACGCGGCGTAGGCATGGTTAAATGAATACCCAATTAAATTGCAAAGTGAGCGTTCCCAATTTTCCCTATATATTTTGCCCTTTGGTACACTAATTAATTTCCACGGTCGAGCTCACTTTATTTACGCGCGACAAACCTCAAAATTGTAGCCAACCCACCCGACGTATATTTACGCGAGCAGCCGCGCGCACACCGCGAGAGCGCGCGCTGCGCAAAAATAGTCTCGCGCGAATTACGGCGTGCATCTCAACAGCCAATGCGCGCACTCTCTTCGGGCCCGAGCGCCGAATAACGAGAACGTCGGATTTTCAACGTTTTCACGAACTCTTTCGTAAAATTTGCGACTCGAGCGCGATATCTACTCAAAACCGTGGGAATTTTGTCGATTATCCGACAACGAACAATCTACTCCATTCTACTCATGTCTTCTTTTTCTTCCTCTTCATTCTCTCCTTTTCTCATGAATGTCGGACCTGCTCACGGAGAAACACCTCTATCACGCTTCGTATACTCGCTCTCATTTTTTCCCAATATTCCCACTTTAGTTGCTGTAGAAAACCTCGAAAACTAACCGGCGGTATTTCGCATCGTCCAAACCGATCCGTCTCATTCTCTACTAACGTCTTTTTACACGGTAAGAACAGGACACGTCGCCGGGCGTGACAAGGATCGGTCGGGTCAAGCGGCGAAACGTGACGAAGCGTTTCGTCGTCGGTCGTCCCGATACGCAAGAGCGACCGGGGGCCGTTGGGCCACCCTTCCTCCCGGTATAACGTGGAATTATTGTGGATAATATGTGGATAGTTAGTCCGCGATTAGTCTGTCCGGTGGATTGTATCCCTCCCTCTCTGCCGTTACCTCGCTGCCCCGCGGCCAGCGCCTGCCGTGATAAATGACCGAATCCTTTAGAGTTTTTAGCCGCGAACCGCTCGCTTAAAGGCTCCTCTCCCCCTCCCCCTCTTCCTCTCTTTCTCTCTCACTCTACATTTCTCCCTACGGACCCGTCCACCTCGGCCGAAGGTCGTCGCTACAATTTTGTCGTAAATCACGGTAAACGTTGACGTAAACGCCACGGGTAATTAGATATACTTGCCCGCGATAACCCGCGCGCTTCTTGCGCGCTCACCCCGTCACGTCTTCGTACCCTTTGCGAGAGTCGAGCCCTCGCCCTTTTGCGACGAACACAAGAGAACGAATGGTCCTCTCGTACTGAAGTGTTCGTCGAGACAGCGAAAAATGTTTTCACACGGTTGTACACAGACGATTCGGGAATATTTGCAAAATTTCCGAATGATTCTTGAGTTCTTGAAAAATGGAATGTTCATCAATCACGAAGGAAGTGAGGAGCAATTTTTACGCTTATATTTCCTTTCTCTTTCTCTTTCTCTCTTTTTCTCTCTCTCACGCACACACTACGAATTATATTCTTCTATTTATTTATGAAATTATGCTCTTATTCGCCGCGCGAATCATTTTGCAATTATGACTTCATGAAGAATGTTAGAAATTAATAAAGAAACAAAGAAAAGGACGAGCGAACGGCTCTATAGCGCGCCAATAAACGTCAACGACAGTGATATTTACGATCGTCGGTTATGAAAATTAAAAGGACACTCCGCGATAGCGGAGAAAAAACTGCGCGGGGAAGCTCCCTCTCATCCCCCTCGCTTTTCCTCCCGCCTTAACATCGCTAATCCATCGGCTACTCGCCCCGCAGCGATTTTCGGCGAGCAGGGCGAGGTCGATGAGTTTACCACCGCTGGGGGTTTCGATGTAGATTGCGACCCACGCCTAATTTTGAGACTCACCGTTGTTTATTGCCGAATCCTTTTAGCCTCGAATGGGGTGCCGGGTAACTTCGTGTCTCCCTATTCGCCGCTGGAAAGAAAAGAGCTCCGGCATTAAGGAGCAAGTTAGGAGAAGAAAGGAAAGGAAAGAAGGGCAAAGGACTCGTCGTTAGCGCGTACTGGATACGAGACCCATGCGCTTCATTTAGAACTCAGTATGATGATTCATTTTAAGAAATCAAGCGATTTAAGAGTATCACTTTCCTTTTTCCGCTACGTAAAATCAAATAGAGTACAGAATACATTTATGTGATATTTGCACATGGAAAAATTGAATTTGTTTTGCAATCTACATCGTATCATTTGAGGATTTTGCGTTATTACAGAATCACAAGCGCGCACAAGCTCGATCGTCGTTCGGCGTAGCACTCTAAGGCTAATGCGACGCGAAATAAACTCCCCGCGAAGCTACCCGCGAGGCATTCGGCGAGATCGTTAGGGACACACCCGCGGAAAACACGGGTGGGCTGTGTGACTCCGCATTAAAATCGCATTTGCCGCTTTTCCACATTCCCGCTGCGTTCATTAAACGGTTAGCTCTGCCTTGGAGCGAAAATATTTAGCGTCGAACATCAAGAAGTCGCGAGCTAAAACATGACGTTTAATTTTCTCGCTCGTGGAAGACTGATTACAAATTAATCGAGTCGACATATAACGTTATACATAAACAATTATTCTGTCTTTATATTACAAATAGTTGTTCACATGATTATTTCACATTGAAGAAAGACATTAATCAGAATGATATAACATTCGATTATTTCAATACTCGATCTTTCTCATATCTTTGTTCTTAATAAGCAATGCGTTACGTAGCTGACTCCGTCGCAGATAGTGTATGCAAGATAAATAGATATTAAATACTTGATAGGGTAAATAATGGGATCAACACAGCAATAAATTTTCTTCATTCACAACTCTTTTCTTATTTCTTACTGACGTTGGAAGTTTTGGTAAATTTTGAAGATCAAAATGGGTGACATATCAACATATATGGAAATATATAATGTCCTAGCATGGCGATCCAGCATTTTATTCCCAGCTGCTTTATTGTAGCACTCCGATTTATTCATGGTACTAGCATCAGCATTAACTTTCGTGACAATTTGGTCGGAAAAAATGTGTTAATTAACGCGATGCCGACCAGAGCTTGATTAAATATTTCAAAAGTCGACGAAATATTTTAATCAACGCAACGGAAATTGTGTAATTAACTCACCGATGAACGCATACTACACATATACTACGCATGCCTCACCGACTCGTGACTCGTAATATAACACTCGACTGCGAAAAAATACGCAAGAATCAAAACAATGAGCGAAAAGAGCTACGTCATCTCTCGTCAATCGCCAATTATCCTCGCGTACCATTGAGCAGTCGCGAAATCATAACATTTTCGAAACACTCAGGACCTTTAGAGATCAAACTCACTGGAAACTCGTTGTAA